TGTTATTCTTGTTATTGTTCTTGTTCTTCTTCTTGTTGTTGTTGTTGTTGTTGTTCATTTTGTTGTTGATGTTGATATTATTGTTGTGGTTCTTGGTTTGTCGTCATTGCCGTTCTTGTCGTGATTGTTGCCCTTGTACTACAAGTGCCGTTCAACAATTGCACTTGTGGTTCTTCATAGTGGGTAGTTAGGTAGAATAGAGGGTAGTTGGGGGGTCTAGGATAGCCCTAAACCCTTAACCCTATACCCTAAACCCTCAACCCTGTTCCCTAAAACCCTATACTCCCCATACTCCCTATAAGCCCTTAGCCCTAAACCCGAAACCCGATTCCCTAAAACCCTATATTCCCTATAAGCCCTTCCCTAAGACCCTATATTCCCTAGAACCCTACATTCGCTATAAGCCCTTCCCTAAGACCCTATATTCCCTAGAACCCTACATTCCCTATAAGCCCTTCCCTAAGACCCTATATTCCCTAGAACCCTGCATTCCCTATAAGCCCTTCCCTAAGACCCTATATAAACCCTATATTCCCTATAAGCCCTTCCCTAAGACCCTATATTCCCTAGAACCCTGCATTCCCTATAAGCCCTTCCCTAAGACCCTATATAAACCCTATATTCCCTCTAAGCCCTTCCCTAAGACCCTAAACCCTATTCCCTAAACCCGAAACCCTATTCCCTGAAACCCTGTATTCCCTAGAAACCCCATTTCCAGGCTCAGTTCCATGACTTCCTTGGTCTCGGCCCTACACAGCCGAAGGCCGGATGGTTCCCGGTTGAACGCCGGAATTTAGGAGTTTAGAAGTTTAGGGTTATAGTATATTATAGGGTGTAGGAGTTTAGGGTTTAGGAGTTTAGGGTTAGAGGGTTTTAGGGTTTAAGGTTTAGGGTTATGGGTTTGAGCATCTTCAGGAGTGTTGTTTTGGAGCTTTGTAGCGCTTTAGGGCTGCACGGGGTCCAGAGCTGGACTGACACGCAAATCGACTCTGCTTCCTTCTGCTTCTTTAATGGCACTTGCGACAATCGGCGAAGTACATGACCCGTTGGTCGGACAGGCTCCTGCAATACTTATACGGGTATGGAGGCCTAGGGTTTTGAACCTTAAACCTTAGAGGTGTATTGATGCCGTAAGGTTCCGGTTCAAAAGCAAGTGCCCTGCAACACGGATTGAGCATCGATCTAACACTCTGGCTTCTGATTGTCGTTTACAGCTGCTTGGTTTGAGAGCTGAGGAAATTTAGCTTTTGTCCACCCAGCAGCTATTTCCCCGATATTGCCTCGTAAGAAACGGCACCTGCACCATGTTCGCCCTTGCAGGTAGCGCAACTTGTTCTGTCGCATCTTGCTCTCAGCGCTGTAGGGCTGAATGATGGAGTTAGCTCCAGTAGTATTCGGGTCCGAGCATCCGAGTTTCCATCCTGCTTGGAACTCGATTTGGGGTTTGGGGTTGAACTGGGGAACAGCGATTGTTAGTGCCTAAGTTAGCTGGGAAGCTGTAACATTGTGGATAGGAATCGAGACCCCTCGGGCCCTCGGGGACCAACACACCGGGTCATGGCCTTCAGCCTTTTCTTGCGAACGTGTCAGTGTTTTTGCAACATCCACCGCAACCGAGTCCAATGATCCCTGCCTGCCGCGAAAGGACAGAGGAGATGAGACAGTTTGGTCTGCTGAAGCGCTTTCTTCGTCAGAACCGAATTCCGAAAAGTTTGAGCCTCTCGCCTTTCTTTGCGAGCTTTGTGCAGGGTGTAGAGTACCTGTGGTCTCGATTGTAGTTCCATGTTTAGGGATACCTTATGAAATGCTTAATATATAATTGGTTAAACCAAAAAAAGGAACTACAATGGAGACTATAGGTAGGCAGCTGTTTGTGAAGCGCGTTGGCCAGGACACAGCAGTTGATCCGACACTTGAGGGTGAAGCTGAACTCCTTGAAAGCGAAATGGCAGCGGAGCATTGCATACACATCAGTATCGCTACGGCTCCAAATTTAAGTATACCGAAGTAGTCCTTTACCGGACGAAGTATACCATGACTGGACTGGAAGAAACTGTAACCTGTAGTACAGTAACCTACCATTTATGTAGCTGGAGCCCTTATAAGGCCTACCTGATCCCCGAAACAACCTACCCTTGTGATAAGGACACCAGAATACGGAAGACTACAACGGTAGGTCTCATGGGGTTCAGGCGGGGTATGCGAACTTGATCACCTCATTGGTTCCGAAGCCTAAACCACAAAACCCTTAAGCCCCAAATCCCTGAACCCCTAAACCCTTAAACCCTTAAGCCCAAGACCCCTAAACCCCTAAACCCAAAACACCCAAAACCCCCTAAAGCCCAAAGCCCTAAACCCCTAAACCACCAAACCCTTATAACCCTTAAAACCAACACCCTTAAACTTCTGAGCCCCCAAAAAACCGTGGCAAAGAGCCTTTGGCCGCCACCCCAAAACCTCGCAACTCTCGGAGCGCTCATCGCAAGTACCCCTCCAGCTCTTCCCTTTCAGGAGGTATAGAACTCCAACGGGGTGCTTTAGGATTTAGGCTAGGGCTTTAGGGTTTAGGGTTTAGGATTTCGGGTTCAGGACTTAGGGCTGAGTACAGCGTTTAGGGTTTTGGGAAGTCTCCATTCGAGACGCTAGGGTTCAGTGTGTAGGGTCTAGGGTTTGCAAGTCCCGGCGCAAAAGGGCCATACCCAAGAAAGCGAGGAACATCGGCACTAGATGCAACTGTAAGGGTTTTGATATTCATGCTTTATGGAGAAGCAGCACAAGTTCATTGGATTGGAGGTGGCAGTTATAGTATGGAGGTGGCAGTTACAGTATCGGGGTGCCTGGTTAGATACCCTAGACCCGAAGGCCCCGAAAGCAAAACCCTGGC